CGCTGAGCCATCTCTCACCATAGCAGGTCCATCTTAACTTGGTCCATATCTCTCCAACTCCACCGCCCCATTCTAGCCCATCCGGGTGACTCCAGAAGTCTCTTAGTGGCACTTGTACCCCATTCTTGTGCCACAAGACCCATTCCCCTGCACAATGGCACTGGAGCCTTTAGATACAGCAGTCAGATGGTTCCACTCCCCAGCGATAGACAGGCTCTTCAGAGAATCACAGTGGAGCTCTTACCCACCTCGGCTCCGGCTCCTCCCTCCTCCCTCGTGTCTGTGTCTTCGCTGCCCCTCCGGTTTGCTATCTCAGTCTTTGCAGTTACTGGCCTTTGGGTCCTATGTGTTACGTGGCCAGATTCTTCTCCTACAGGTGTCTCCTCCTGAGAAGGCCTTTCTAATCCTCCAGCTGCCCGAACTCTATCACACCATCCAGGGCCAAGGTGATGAACAACATGGTTCGTGTCACCTGGAGCCATAGACACTGCACCTGACTTGGGCTCAGTGTCTGGTGTCTTCTCCACCTCCGCCATCGCACCTGGCGTCACAGAAGAGGCCAGTCTTCCAGGTGGGAGGCTACCCTTTGGGGAACAGCCAGTCAGCCTGGGATTCCAATGTAAAAACCATACATAAAGTACAGGCACATCCTCTCCCCAGCAAAAGACAGCCTGGGCCTTCAAAGGCCAACACTGTGTGCTGGTGGTGGAGGTGGGCTGGGCTGGGCTGGGGGAGAAGCTGCCATAAATGAGATCAGCCCTCTCAGCTCTTTTCTGGCCACTGAAGTATTTCTGAGATCCATCTCCGGGAAAGAGGAAACAAAATTCACAGTAGAAAGCAAATATGTTTTACCTCTCTGCCCCGAAGCGTCCTGTGTCTTCTCAGAACATGGAATAAAATTCAAGATGGTGACATTACAGATGGATTGGTTCAAACAGTATTTCCCTGGTCATAGCAAACCAGAAAGAATGGCACTAGTGGGAATCAGCTGTTGCTGTGGGCTCCTGCCGGGACTGAGGAAGGGGCTAGCCTCGGCAATAGCCAGAATCATAGTCCATAGCTCTTTCAGGGCTGAGGCTATACAAATGAAACAGTACTGCAAACAAGCCCCAGACTCCCCAGAGATCTCTGACTTGTTTATTATTTTTATGTATGTGTGTGTGCCTGTGTGAGTTTATGTGTGCCATGTGTGCAGAAGCCTGCCGAGGCCACAAGGTTTCAGATTCCCTGGAACCGAGTTACAGGTTATTATGAGTCATTATGTAGATGCTGGGAACTGAACCCATTATAAGGTCCTCTGTAAGAGCAGTCAGAGTTCTTAATCTCCAAGTCATCTCTCCACCCCCAATCTCTGGCTTTTGAAATGACCTTATAATAAATGTTCTGTTTTTGCCTCTCTCTCTCTCTCTCTCTCTCTCTCTCTCTCTCTCTCTCTCTCTCTTTCTCTCCCTCCCTACTCCCCCCCTTTCTTTCTTCCATTTATTTTGGTAACAGACTTTTTTCCCTTTGACATAGGGTTTCACATAGCCAGACTGGCCTCAAATTCTATTACGTAGCAGAAGCTGACTTTGTTACTTTGGTGAAATCTTAAATTTTCCAGAAAGCAGAGCCAAAGGCCGTCCCAGCTTCCAGTGCAGCCACTGGAGCCATTTTCCTCCAGCTCTGAGATAAACTGCTGTTTTCCGGATTTTACCGGAGGTAAAGGCGGGCTGACTCATTTTAGGAGCCCCACTGGGTGGAAGGTTTCTACCTAGATGAGCAGCAGGGACAGGAAAGGACTCATTCTGAGAAGCATGAAGGTTGATAGAGGGATCCTTAGAGCTGCTGACCCCTCATGCTATGCCAGACTCTTAACTGCGGGTATCTACACTATTGAAATCGCTCTCCCCTGTGGCATCTGCACAGCTGCATCTGCGGGTATTCAACACGTGTAAGGCATTCAACACGAGTCCACCACATGAAAGGAACGAGTTAATATTTTTAAAGATTATTTTTTTTAACTTTTTGAGACAGGGTCTCACTATCTAGCCCTGACTGACCTGGAACTTGCTCTGTAGATCAAGCCGTTCTTGAACTCACAGAGATCCATCTGCCTCTGCACCTGCCTCCCCCATGCTGGGATTAAGGGCGTGCGCCTCCACACCCAGCTGATTTACTTATTTTTGTTTTCTGTCTAAGGTGCTCTCCCTGCACTTACATATGTGCAGCAGGTGTATGCAGTGCCCCTGGAGGCATTGGGTTTCCCTGGAACTGGAATCACAGGTGGTCGCCAGCAACCAGGTGGGTGCTGGAAACTGAACCAAGGTTCTTAACCTTTGAGCCATCTCTCCAGGTCTGGAACTAAGTATATAAAGTCTTTTCAGAGTTTTCTGTCTGATCTGTTTTGAAGGAATCGTGTGCTGGACAGGGGTAGTGATGTATACCTCTCATCCCATCACTAGGCAGAGGCAGGCTGGTTCCAAGCAGGCCAGGGCTACACAGTGAGACCCTATTGCTAAATAAATAAAACAAGGAATTGTGTACTGAACCTAATAATGCCTGCCACAAAGTCACAATGCCGGAAGAACCGAACATACAGTGAGCATTTACTAACCGGTACTCTTTGCCATATTGGCCCTGCGCTAGTTGACAAAGGAGCACCTTACATTGTAATTTTGGCATATGTTTTGTCAATGACATTTATTGGATAGTAAATACATAGAGCAAATATTAATACCCCTAATAATAATAACCAATTATAAGCCAAATGAGGACTTGCCAAATGATATATAGTTCCCTAATAGCTTTGTTATTAGCTCACTTAATAGTCTCAATCATGATTGTTCCCATTTTATAGATGAGAAAACTAAGATCCAAAGAGCCAAAAGAGGTTGGGGAAATGACTCAGTTGGTAAAATCCTTGTCACAAGAGCATGAAGACCTGCAATCTCACATGAAGGCCAGGTTTGGTGACATGCGCAGTGCTGGCAAATCAGAGAGAAGGAAACCCCTGGAACTAATTGGCCACCAGCCCAGCCAGATGGGTGAGCTCGGGTTTAGGAAGAGATCCTGTCTCAAACCGTAAAATAGAGAATAGTCCAAGAACAGATCTAAATTTCAAACTGTAACATCTACACACACGCATGTGCACGTGCACATACAGACGGACACCTTTAAAAACATGCACACGAGAGAGAGAGAGAGAGAGAGAGGGAGAGGGAGAGGGAGAGGGAGAGGGAGATGGAGATGGAAAAGGTTTCTGAATCCACATTTCTAATCTCAAACCCAAGCATGATTGTGGTTACTATGAGACTCAAAATAGAGGATGGATATAAAATACTCCTTCTGCTCACAGAGACGGTTTTCTAGAAATAGCTACCATATATGGTCACTCACATCACAGCCATGATAAGGAATGCACTTCTTCTCCTCTAGTCCAGAGCTTGTGTGAACTAACACAGACACAGAGGCAGGCTGGTTAAGTGATTTGGCCGAGAAGATGTATTCAGGATTATAGAACAGGCCACCTTTGAGCTGGAGAAATGGCTCTGTGGGTGTTTGCCAGGCAAGCATAAAGACCCAAATTCAACCTGCTGCCACCTTGTAAAAATTGAGCACAGAAGCAGGTGCCTGTAATCCCAGCCCCAGGGAGGCAGAGGAGGATCCAGGCACTCAGTGGCCAGCCAATCTGAGCTTCAGGTTCCGGGAGGAGAGTTACTGAGGAAGTCGACCTCTGGCCTCACACACACTTACGAGGCCATGCTCCTGCTCAGTAAACCACAGCACGCCACATGCTGTGTCAAAAGCTCCATCATTACCATAGTTAGAGAAACACAAGTCAGAGCCACATTGAGCAACCACTTCACAGCCAGAGAGGTTAGTTATGATCAGAAAGTCACAGCGTCGAGTGTTGGTGAGGATTGAGACCGGAACCCCGACACTCCAGTGCTGTGGAAAGATGAAATTGGTGTGTGAAACAGTCCGGCAGTGCCTCCCAGGCTGACATGCAGTTGCTGCCGTGAGATCCAACAAGGCCCCTTCGAGGTAAACCCAGCAGAAATGAGGGCATAGGTCCAGATGACAAAATTGGAAGAACCCAATGTCCATCATCGGATAAGTGGAAGCAGTTTATATACAGGGGACTGTTATCCAGCCATGGAGAGCAAACAACAATAATACACGTGATAACAGAAATGAACATGGACCAAATGCTACATGATTTTGTTTATATGAAATGTGAAAACAGGTGAATCCATAGAAACTAAGGGACAGAGGTGAGGTTGAAAATGATGACTAGAAGGTAGAGAGATTCCTTTTGGGTTGATGAAAATTCTTCTTTCTTTTCCCTCAGTTTTTCAAGACAGGGTTTCTCTGTGTAGCCCTGACTGTCCTAGAACTTGCTTTGTAGACCAGGCTGGCCTTAAACTCAAAGATCCACCTACCTCTGCCTCCACACCTGGCTGAAAAAGCTCTAAACTTATTTATTTATCTATTTATTTATTTACTGTCATTCAGCTCAGTGAACACACTGAAAGCCATGGATATGGACACTGTAAATTGGTGAAAGTCCAAGGTACACACTGTAACTTCATAAACTGTTTTAAAAGGCCCCCTTGATGCTCTAGAATGACTTTTCCAAGCCTGGCTCTATGTTTCCTAAGCACAAGGATGACTCAGACTCACCTGGGGGAATCCCCACCTCCTCTCTGGGAGCCCAGGGTGTGTTGTTGGCCTGTGTCTCCCAGGTTCCTCAGGCATGCCCTACCCTGCTCATCCTGGCAGGCCTCTGCCGCAGTTGAAAAAACGGAAGGGAGGCAAATAGCCTGCTACCCTTTCTTTGTGGCTTCCTCCAGCTGCAACCAAGGGCAGCTTCTTCCTACTGTTTCCTCCCAGGCGCCTATGAGAGCAGGGTTCAGATTTAAAAACCACACGGAATCTAGCAAGTGCACTAGCAGCTGCACCCTGGGGGAGTTGGTGCTGTCCAGTGCTGCCGAGATCTGTCCATCCCACGCCCCACTTACCTAACATAAGAAAAGACGATCACATGCAAGACCCACTTAATGGTGCCATAATTCACACTCTGGATCCGGGTGACTTTGTTTGTCTCATATTGCAAGACGTCATTCCAGCTGCAGCAAGCCGGCATGGTGACAGGCTCTCTCTCTCTGTTCTGGCTGGACCTTGGCTAGACCCTCCCAGGCTAGACCACAGCAAACACCCAGGTAGGAACAGTCAAAGAAAATGTTTCTTAGCAGGAACATTTAACTTCCAGTTCCTGCAGTGACTGCCATGGGGGCGGGTCCTGGCAACTGCCCCAAATGTGAGTAGAATAAACAAGAAGCAAGTCTTACAGGCCTGGCTGGCAGATGACCCCGCCCTGACATCCTCCCCCAGACGCCCGCACAAAGATGGTGTTCAGAAGATGGGCATTTTTTAAATTCCCCCTCCCCCTTTTCTTTTGTTCTTTTGAACCCATTCCACTTGGGAGAAAGCGGGCTGCCCTTCAGATGTCATAAGACCCTGTGTGACTCAGAGAGGGGCCTAGATACTTCCATTGCCTCTAGCCCATTAAGACACATCCATTTTGTTTTCTCTTGTTTGTCTGTGACAGGCTCTCAAGCATCCAGGCTGGCCTCAGATTTTACCTGAGGATGGCCTTGAACTTCTGATCCTCCCACTCATACCTCCTGAGTGCTGGGATTTATAGGAAGCGGCACCACACCTCACAGAAACTACCTATTTGTTTTCTGCAACCCTTTGTTCAGTCCGTGCGCAGAAGTGCATGTGCACGGGGTAAATGAATGGTGGCTTTTGTCCTTCCCCACTCCTGGCAATAGGCAGGGGATGGTGGGCGGGATCAGGTTCAGTACGAGCTGGGAAGACTATATAAGCACGGCATCTTACTCCATTCTCTGGATCCTGTCCTGCACCGTGCCCTGGGCAGTCAGTCAACCCATGACTTGGGCCAGCCAGTCGCAGGCCACCAAGAGCAAAGCTACCGCCCAGCAGAAGTAGCTCTCTTGACCATGCGTGACAGAGACTACCTGCTGGAGGGCCGAGGATGTTGCCAGACAGGAGAAGAGTAGGGTTCCGAGGAAGGTGGAGTTGATTTTTTTGGTTTGGATTTTGTTTGTTTTTGTTTTATTTTGAAACAGGATCTCATGTAACTAATTCAGGCTTCTTTTGAACTTCCTAAGCAGTTGAGACTGACCCTGAACTCCTAATCTAAATTCTGGGATTACAGTGGTGAGCTACCATGCCCAGGCTGAAACCCCACTGGGCAGGCTGAAGGAAAGCATGGTGGATACAATGGACAGCTTCCGACACGGGCTGCACAGCAGAGCCAAGACCCTGCGTAACAGACACGGTTGGCACTGGACAATGCACCTGCGGAGCCCTGTGTCTGAGGCTCTGTGCTGACGTGGACATGGCAGCTGTTTCTCTGCCTCAAGACTTAGGACCCTCCAGGCACAAGTGGACTGTTTCATTCTGAGAGTCTGACGTCAGAGGACAATGCTCCTCACTGAGAAAGAGTGGCTGGAGTGTTTTCACTTGCTAGCTAGAAAGAGCAGAAAAGAATCTTCTCTCTGCAGCCAGCTCGAACCACTGCTGTCTTTCCACCGCAATAACTGGCCAGGCAGATCTGCACGTTTCCAGTCTGAGCCTGTACTTTCTCTTCCCTATGATCTCCACCCCTGCTGGCTTCAGTTCAAGAGACTGGCAGGCAGGGAGGCTGGGCGAGTGTCCCAGCCCTCTCCATTCAGAGGCTTACTTGGTTTTATCATTTAGGCTTGGGAGTGGTAAGGGCTTCCCTCTGTAGCCAACTGCAGGCAGCACACCATCTGCTTTCTCCTAATTCTGTCCCCACCTTTGTTCTGCTATTGGTTTTTTTTTGTTTGAGGATGTCAGTCACATTCCCAAAACTCTATGGAATATAGCAATTTTTATTTGTAAATAGAATAGATGGGGCCAGTGAGATGGTAAAGGTGTTTGCCATCAAGCTTGATGATCTGAGTTCAATCCCCAGGACCCAAATAATAGGAGAGAACTAACTCCATGTACACACACACACACACACACACACACACACACACACACACACATGCAGGAATGGTCAAGTATACACACACACACATCCCAAAGATGAATGTAACAAAAATTTTAAATAGCAGATATACAAGGTTCCCATGAGGGCAGTAAAGTCTGATGGTTAGAACTAAAGGACTAGCTGCCTGATTTCCATTCCTGAGCTATATAATTGTATATAATCATCCAGGAACTGATGTGTGTGTGTGTGTGTGTGTGTGTGTGTATCATATATTATATATATTATACATATAATCAACTCTGTGGCTTTGGACAGTTCTGGTCATATCATTCATTCATTCATTCCTGGGAGCACAAAGAACTAGTGGGTATAGCAATGAATATGTGTTAAGTCCAAAATTGTCCACTCACTAAAGAATGGATCAAGAAAACATGATGCATCCGTATGATGAAAGAGTCATCAGCCATAAAAGGATAAAGAACAGATGTGTGCTGTAACTTGGATGAGCAAACAGAAACAGAAAAAAAGCTACATCTCATAATTCAATTTCCAGATGTGCCCAGAGCAGGCAAATCATTCTATATTTTCTTTACACCACCCACTGAATATCTCCCATGGGTATTCCACGGTCTTTCTTTTTTTGGTGTTCTATATTTTAGCCACCACCCCACCCCATGAATGCTGTTGTCCTAGTTAGGGTTTTATTGCTATGAAGAGACACCATGACCATGGCCAATCTTAAAAAGGAAAACATTTAACTGGGCTGGCTTACAGTTCAGAGGTTCAGTCCATTATCACCTTGGCAGGAAGTACGGTAGTGCACAAGCAGACACGGGAGAAATATCTGAAGGTTCTACATCCGGATCAGTAGGCAGCAGGAATAGCAAGAGACACTGGGTCTGTCTTGAGCATTTGCAACCTCAAAACCCACCCCCAGTGACACACTTCCCCCAGAAGGTCACACCTACCATAGCGCTACTTCCTGGTGGCTAAGCTTTCAAATCTGTGAGCCGACGGGGGCCAATCCTATTCGTGCCCCCAGAGCTGTTGTTCTCAGTAAGATTTCTAATACTTCTCAGTGGTCAGATTTGCTGAATGTATATGTATTCTTTATTTTGCTTGGCTCCTTGGACTCATTCAGCAACATGGTTACTTATTTTATACTTCAGGGAATAATTGCTCTGATTTCTATGACACCCCTGGTCACATGTTATCCCTCTGGGGCTCTTAACATTCCATGACTCTTGCCTCCTCACACATATCAGATTCAGTACTTCTATGTTTCTGTCAGTCAGCACAGGGCAGACTATGCAGCCATTACTTGGCTTCAAATAATGGTTCCTTTCTCGTCTGTGCTACGGACGCATCCAACGCTAATGAAGCAGCCTCATCTTAAACTTTTAAGTGAGAACTCTGGAGTTCTTGAAGCCGCAATTAAACACTGGCCTAGAAACAAAGCACTCACTGCTGCTTGTCAGGCATTGGTCAAAGTAATCACTTGGTCCCGCCCATCCGCTGGGAGCCGTGGAGCTCAGTGCTGCCCTGCGTCACTAAGAAGCCGCAGAACTATTTGTTGAATAGTTTTGATGACTACGGCACTCTGTCTGTCCCTCCATCCGTCTGTCCCTCTCTCCCTTCCTCCCTCCCCATATGTTATTTTAAGAATTACAAAAAACCGTCCGGCGGTGGTGGTGGCGCACGGCTTTAATCCCAGCACTTGGGAGGCAGAGGCAGGAGGATCTCTGTGAGTTCGAGGTCTGCCTGGTCTACAGAGCCATTTCCAGGACAGGCTCCAAAGCTACAGAGAAACCCTGTCTCAAAAAACCAAAATAAATAAATAAATAGATAGATAGATAGATAGATAGATAGATAGATAGATAGATAGATAGATAAAAAGAATTACAAAAAGCCAAGGTCTGGAAAGATGATTCTACAGTTAAGAGCACTTGCTGCTTTTCCAGACAACACAATTTCAGTTCCCAAAAACCATGTTGGGTGGATTACCACTGTCTGTGACTCCAGCTGCAAGAGATCTGACCCTCTTCTGACCTCTGTAGGCACTCGCACGCACATTTGTGTACATACAGACACACGTAAGAATAAACCTTTAATTAAAGAAAATCACCAAAGCTTGGACCTGGGATGTGGCCCGGTGGTAGGGAGCTTACATAGCTTGTGTGAGTCCTTTGTTCTGTTCCCAGCAATGCTTTCTTATTTCTTTTCCAAAAAAGTTATTATTGTTTGTTTGTTTGTTTGTCTGTTTGTTTGTTTGTTTTGATTTTTTTGAGACACTTTTCTCTGTGTAGCCCTGGCTGTACTGGAACTCATTCTGTAGACCAGCCTGATTTCGAACTCACAGAGATGAGTTCCTGCCTCTGCCTCTGCCTCTGGAGTGCTGGGATTAAAGGTGTACATCACCAACCAGTTATAGGAGTTGATCTTAACGGGAGATATTCAGGCAAGGGAAAACTGCAGAAGGGGGAGTTAAGATGTTAGCATTGGAGCCTTCCAGAGAATACGCTAGCTAGAGAGGAACACGGCCATCGGTGATCTGTTTGTGAACTAGAAAGCCAGGTTGTGATGTAAACAGGGGATGTAGAAGTTGAAGGGCGACTTTCTTAGAAAAGTGTGTGTGGTGTGTGGGTGTGTGGGTGTGTGTGGGTGTGGGTGTGTGTGCGCGCGCGCGTGATGTGTAGGTGTCTACTTACAAGTTACTGAAGGCCCAGCTTCTTTAGGGGAAGCTAGGGGTTTTCTCTGAGAAACAGATTGACTGTGACGATAGCAGGAGTCTGCATCTCCCTGCAGCTATGAGTGTTGGAAATGCAGCCCGATTTCCTGAGAACTATTAGACCGGAAACTAAAATCTCCCTGTGCTGAGGCTGCTGTTTCAGTTCCACTCCTCTGGGCTACGTGGTTCTGTCTGTCTGTCTGTCTGTCTCTGTCTCTGTCTCTGTCTCTCTGTCTCTCTCTCTCTCTGTCTCTCGCTCTGTCTCTCTCTCTCTCTCTCTCTCACACACACACACACACACACACACACACACACACATACACACACCCTCTGGGTTTTTATTCAAGTGTAAGTCCAGATCCACTGAATTCCAGGATCCCAGGAGAGTAATTCTGATTGGTTCTGCCACCTCTCCCTGATCCATCATCTATGCCTGTGGGCAGGGCCACAGGACCTTCCCAAAGAGGGAAATAAAAGATAGTTGTGCTGGGCGGCCAGCCCTGGTGGTGCCTTTAATCCCTTTGAGTT